GACTTCGGATTTCGGAGGAGGAGCAAGTGTCGGGTGAAACAAAAGTAAAAAGCGCCAGATCATGGTTAACATCAGGATGCTTCATCTGACCAGGACGAGTCACCTCTGAGCCCATAAGTAGTTGTTGGTGTCACAAATGAAAATAGATCAGGCGAACCTTAAGTCTCAGAGCACGCAGATGTCTATGACTGTTTACGCGTTCTGAGGGGTCAAACACAAAGTAGAAAATCAACAAAGAGTAGGTTCTCAAGACGTGAAGTCATATGTAAGCATTGTTTTTAGTATTTTGTCAAGGATCATAAAGTTTAAAAAATCATACCACTACTCATTAGGATGCACAAGCGTATTACTCCTAAGATGTAATTCTCGAACACATAAGAACTATTAAGGGAATATTATATGGACCTATAAATAGAAGCACTCGACGATTTTATGATGTACATAGTGATGAATTTTTGAACTCACCCGTTTGTAAACATAGTACTGGAGTTCTTTCGAATCGAAGCCGTAGATTCCTTCTTTCATATCCAATGGCAATGGGAATTTTTTGAAAACAGTGGAGAATTTCAATGTGGCCGATGAGAATCTTATAAAAACAAAAAAATAAAAATAATTAACGGCGGAACGAGTAAAAAGAATCTCTTGGATGCCCGGTTGTATATGCACACAGCACTGAAGTAGAAACATCAGTTAGTTGTCTCATTAAGCTCCATTGATTACTAATAAAAGGTACGTAAAAATGATTTGAACAGAACTTACTTTTGGCGATTTAGAGAGGCTGACCGCTCGTTAAACAGGCCGTTTCTCCAATCTAGAAGCATGTAATCGTCACGAATAAGTCTAACGCCCTCCAAGTCAATATCCGTGAGCTTTTCCGCAAGCTAGTAAGAGGAGAAATAACGCCAAAAATTAAAAGAGGTTCTCGAAGCCAGGTGAAGCTTCAATAAAGAGCGAAAATTACTAAGTTGAGTAAAAATAAAGACTGACGGTAAGTAGAAACGAAATGCAACCCATATCAACTTTAATTCTTATATCGTGAAAACACGTTGATGTTTAAGCGGTAACTAGTTTTGTATGTAGGGCAGGTTGAAACAAGAAAAAGAGAAACCCGCGTACTTACGATTAACAGG